AAGTACATGAGGGGTTTATGACATCTATATGAAGATCTTGTCAACTCGCCATATTTATTGAGAGAAAAAATAATGAGCAAATGAATAGTAAATTGTCTCAGGTTTTTGTCCACTTGTGCAAAGATTTTTTTTAACATTGAATAAAACTGAAAAAGCTGCAATGACCCACTTTGCCTCTTAAATTGTTACCATTGTGAGTGCAATATTGCTATCGACCCTACCTGACTCCAAACTCCATCGACTTTTACCATCGTATTACTGCATGAACGTTTGAACTGTTCCTAGAGAGAATCAAGCACTCTGCATTCCTGAGAGGTGTCATTAAGGGTTGGCTGAGAGTAAATAGATGAACTTGGGCAGTAGCATACTTAGCGTAGTTACTGGTGGGTGGACACAGATCTCTCTCTCCCACCAAAGCAGTACATGTGGGGTTGCCATGTAACATATGCTGTTGTACATGCAGGGCCGTCTTTAACGCGGGGCAAACAGGGCAGCTGCCCCGGGCCCAGTTGCTCCTGAGGGGCCCCAGAGCAGCTGCCTCGTGGGCCCCGCGATTTCAGCAGCCCTTGGATCCGGCGGGGCAGCTGCACAGAGCCACACCAGCCGCACGCTAAAGAGGGCCCCCGGGTGGCCCATGCACTAAGGGCCACCCGGTGGGCATGTGGCAGAAGGGGCCCGGTCGGGCGCTGTGACACTTAAACAGCGCGACCGGGCCCCTTCCTGTTCGGCAGCCGGCTGGGAGGAAGTGAGTGCCGCGCGTCACTTCCTCCCACCGGTGATCACAACCGCGCGGGAGGAGGGAGGAGGGGAGTTCCAGAGGAGAACTCCCATCTGCCTCAGCCTGCCACTGGACCAGGGAAACCACCCTCCAGAAAAAGGTAGGAAACTGGAGGGTGGCTAAATGTATGTCTGTGTGTGTCTATGTCTGTCTGTGTGCATGTCAGTATGTGTGTATGTAGGTCTGTGAGTGTCAGTATGTCTCTGTGTATCTATATCTGTGTGTGTGTGTGTGTATGTCAGTATGTCTGTGTGTCACTAAGTCTGTGTGTGTGTCTATGTCTGTGTGTGTGTGTATGTCAGTATGTCTGTATATGTCAGTATGCCTGTGTGTGTGTTTGTCAGTATGCCTGTGTGTGTGTCAGTATGTCTGCCTGTGTGTGTCAGTATGTCTGTCTGTCTGTGTGTCAGTATGTCTGTGTGTTTGTCAGTATGTCTGCCTGTGTGTCTGTGTCAGAATGCCTGTTTGTGTGTGTCAATAGGTCTGTCAGTGTATGCGTCTGTGTGTGTCAGTATATTTGTCAGTTTATGTGTCTGTGTATTCATGAATGTGTGTCTGTGTTTGTGTGTCAGTATGTCTGAGTGTGTGTCAATATGTCTGCCAGTATATATTTGTGTGTCAGTGTATGTGTATGTCAGTATGTATCTGAGAATGTTTTAATATGTCTGTCTGTGTGCGTATGTGTCAGTATGTCTGTCAGTGTGATTGCGGGTTGGGTGTAATTAAGGGGTTGGGGGGGAAGGAGCAGGGCCCAGGGGGCCCAAGAAAATGCATTGCCCAGGGTCCTAATCATATTATAGACGGCCCTGTGTACATGCGAAGGTGTGAGCAACAGAGAGCTGCAGGGATCACTCTGTCCTGTTACCCAGTTTGCACACATGCCCTGTACAGATCCTGGAACTGGGATGTGGCATCACTCCAGGCCAGCATCAGTACAGAGCAAAGGGGAGATGGGAAACCAGTAAAGAGACTGATCCCAGAAGCACCTCACTGGACCCCATGGATGAGGCTCCACTCCAGCTCTCCATTTCAAGGTAAAACAAGGGGGCTGTGTGGACCTCAGTGTGAATACCTTCCCACTTCCCCAAAACAAAATTAAATTAATAAAAATTAAGACTTTCTCCATCCTCTTATCCCTCCCTCTCTCACCATCCTCCTATTATTACCAACTGTGCCTCCCTCCTCATCCTTCAATAACTCCTCTCACCCTTCCCCTACTCAAATTCCTTCCATCACTTGCCCACCCTCCCTCACTTCCCATCCTCATATCACTCCATCTTTTATCTCACTAAACTTACTGTCCCTCTCTCCATCCTCTTATCACTCTCCCCCAATCCTTCAATCCTTGTGTCCTATGATCCTATGATGGTAAATATGACCCCATATTACTGTAAGGAAGACTGTAAACTCCCTTATTTACTAAAATGGAAGCAGCCAACAGCTGCTCACTATAATTGAAAACTAGAGAATAGGCACCCATTGATTTGGGCAGCTATTGAAACTCAGTATGGGTGGGGAGACAGGTCACTGTCCATCCCTCTTCTCCCCACCCATTGCCAATGTGCCTGTGACAGAGCTCCTGTAGTCTGACTGAGTATCAGCTTCCTAGCTGGTATCAGGGACCCTGGATCACTTGCGGACTTCTTCTAGGCTTTATCAGACTGCAGCAATCTCCTTCCAGGGAGGTATTGTCCCCTCTACCTTTGCTCTTCTGTTCCTCTCCCAGGCATGTATCAACACCTCTGTATGTCTTACCTCCAACTACTGCATTTACAAAGGCACTTGTGGCTCTCAGGCCTAGCTCTTTTTTTAACTTGTGCCGCGGATCAGTTGTGCAAACAGCCACAGGTCCAAAAACTCTGTTACCGGGTTATCTGAACAAACCACACAGGACACACAGTTTTCAGTGGAACAATTCTTTATTTTTTGGACAAGGACTAGGCTTTGGTGACATGTCCTTAAACATGTGGTGAAAAGCATTTAAAATACAAATATACAGACCATTAGAGAATGCACAATTATAATTCATACATGAACTATATGATACAAGTAACATGTACAATATATACATTTAAAAAATGTTATTAGTGCAGCGCTACTCTAAGTGTAAAGTAAAGTATAAACTCACCCTTCAATACTCAGGGTGGGTTAAGTCGTATATAAAAAGAAAAAAAGAAAAATATATAGTGTGAATCTGTTACACAATGGGTAAAATATAGTGGTGAGGGTGAGTGGTAATAAACTCACATGGTAAAAAGCCTTTTGAATATAGGCTCTAAACTGTGAAGCTGGTATGCCTTAGGGTGACATACAACCCCGCGTTTCTCCTATTCAATAGGCTTTTTCAATGAATGACAGCCGATTGAAATTGCCTATTGAATAGGAGAAACGCGTCTCGGAGGTTGGAGGATCCAAGGACATTAATTGTATTTATATTTTTTGTTTATTTCATAATAATTCTTTATACTATGAATTGTAATTATATTTTATTAAATAAAGAGCACTGAGTGAGGTAAGTGGCAATAAATCTTCTACCTGTAAATGAAAAAAAAAACATACCTTCTGCAGTCTTCTTTCTTCTAAAGTCTTTTTTATTTCAACCACAAAATAGTCCACAAAAAATAAAAATAAAAAATAAAAACAGTACAGCTAGCACTGCCAGCAGGCAAATTGTTTGGATTCCAGATGGTCCAGCTGTCCGGCAGTTAATTCCCATGAATACTGGACCAAATTCTGTCTCAATCAGTTCCTACTCTGCAAAACCCAGAAATGGTTAAATACTTGAATTTTGCAGTCCAAATAGCCCTGTGCAGCAGAGAATGTTTTTTCACCATTTGGTACTATTTAGAGAAATTCAGACTTGAATGAATAACCCTGAGATTCAGTTTTAGGTTCTACTGTGCCATAAAGTTATATAAATCTTTATGAATAAAGAGCCTGTTTTGATTCCAGGCTTGCTATTGTCAGCTGGTGAAGTTTCAAGGTGGCGGGGTGCAGCACTCTACCCCTAGAATTTTACACTCCCCGTTTAACCACGTGCTCAATTTGTAACCCAATGAGACTTCAGCCCAATTCAACACTGTACTGGATAAGCATGTGTGAGCTGTGTATACCCAGAAAATGGGGCATTGTTTTTTTAACATGCCACAAAATAGGTTGCTCAGCCTGTGCACAGCATTTCCAACCATCAAGCATGAGGGGGGAGTCCACTGCAAAACCTATCTAGAAGGCCAAGATTAGTCAGGTGGAATGTCATTGGGAAATAGGATATAAAGATTAGGGGAAGAAGTGGGCCCGGAATCAGAGTAAGTGGGAATGTGTATTAACTAGCTAGTCCGATGTGTTTCCTCAATGAACAGGTACTGGATGAATGGAGAAATGTCATTAATGAAGCCACAGAAATACTGGAAAGCCACCCAAACCCAGCTGAGTCCATTTAGAACGCATTCTCAGTCTTAGTGAATGAGAAAGGTACTTGCCAGTCCTAAGAATGGCCCTGATGTAGACATCTCCAAATAAATTCAACGATCATTTAATTGTTGCTGGTTTTATTTTCTCTATTGTGGCACTAAATCCTCCTATAGGTGTGTGTTTTACTCAATCCAATGCCTTTATCCTTTCTCTCATTTTGTAATAAATAGGGTTGAAGGATCTTGAAGATGTCTTTTCCCAGAGTGATTTAAAATTCTACTGCATTTATAGATGATGCATTCTGTGTGAGAGCCTCTGGTGTAATTACTGCAAAGGAATTTGCTAGCAGTGGGAACGTAGTGGGATATATGTTGACTCAAGCA